TTCATTAACAACGTTAAAACTTCTTACCAAACCCCAAAAACACTTAGCATATGTCCTATGATCAAACTGATCGATCCTGCAAGTAACCAAAATAACATTTTTTGGAAGATCAGCGGTTGTTTACCAATTTTCACAGTAAACACGTTTCCCCTGCATTTTTCAGGCCGAAGGGCATTACATTGTAGTAGTAATTTCCCGAGCTGGTCATCAAAGCAGTGCAATGCTTGTCGCTCATCGCCATTGGGATTTGGTTATAGCCCGATTAGGCGTCCATAAATGATAAAATTTTATAGTCAGCCAATTGTCGACCAGCATGTCAATATTAGATAAAGGAAAAGCGTCTTTGGTACATGCTCGGTTAAGATCAGTATAGTCAACACACATTCTTAATTTTCCATTATTTTTCTTAACAAGTACAACATTTGAGATCCAGGTTGAATACCAAGCCTCGAGAATAAAATTAGCCTCTAGGAGGTCTTTTACAGCATTTTCAGTAGCCTCTTCTTTCTCGGGAGACTATCTACGTCTATGTTATACTACTGTCCTAGTGACTGGATCAATGGCCAATTGGTGACAGGAGACCTCGGGGTCGAGTCCGAGCATCTCTGTGATGCTTCATGCGAACAGGTCCGCGTTCTCCCTCAAGCAAGCTTTGATCTGCTTCCTCACCAAGTCAAGGAGTCTAGTGTCGATCTTCACGCCTTTCTGAGGGTCTTCACCAAAGGGGACGAACTCGAAGTCTCCGTCCGGGATTGGTCGGAGGAGTTCCTGTTCGCCGTTGGGGGCCTCATCCTTGTCGAAGCGGGTGTCGAGCAAGATGGAGTCGACCTTGGGTGGAGCCCTTTGTTCTTCTGTCTTGACAGACTGAGGTTCAGGTTGAGTAGTAGCAGCTCTCTTGGCAGGTCGCACCCCGGTGTCGACTGTACTTTATCCCTTAGAAGCTGCGTTGAAACATCATTGGGCAGCTTAGATGTCGTTGTGGATGGTGGCGACGCGTCCCCTCCTTGTGTAGAATTTCATTTTTAGATAGACGACAGAGGGCACAATGGTCAACTCGGCCAGCGTTGGTCTTCCAAGGATGCAGCTGTAGAAAGACGGGCAGTCGATGACCAGAAATCGCACCTTGATCTATTGGGATGTGGTTTCTTCCCCGAAGGTGACGAAAAGTTAAACATACCCCCATAGTTTGGATGTCGAGCCATTGAAGCCTTGAAGGTCAGACCCCACGTATAGAGAAAGGTGGGTGTCATCGAGCTGCAAAGTTCAGAACAGATGGTTGTACATAACATCGACGGAACTTCCCTCGTCAACTAAGATTTGATGGACATTGAAATTATCCATTCTTGCCCTCGCCAACAAAGGGATACTCAAGTTAGGGGCCCCTCCAGGCAACTCTTCAAGGTAGAACGTGATTGGTTCTGATATTCCCTTGACCTTCTCGAATGTCACCGCTTGAGTCGGGGCTGCATCGACCAACTTGTCGAGCTTTCTTTTTGCGGAGTTTATGGAGATGCCGTTAAACCCCACGCCAGTTATAACCATGGCGGAGGGGAATTTCTCCCACCTGTTATGCATGGACAGAGGTTCTTCCTCGTATCTGTCAGGGATGTAGAAGTCCTTCGGCCTCGTAATGGAGAAAGCTATTTGGATGGGGGCCATCTCATCCGATGGTTGGGTGTCCTCCTTAACCTCTTTTGTCTCGCAGGAATCTCGATGAGTGGCGTCATTGTGTTGATATTTCCCGAGTCTGCCACCCTTAATAAGGGTTTCGATGACATCTTTGAGATGGACACAGTCTTCATTCAGGTGCCCGTGACTTCGATGGTACTGACAGTATTTGCTCATGTCAGCCCCGGGCTTTACATGAGCAGAGCGAGGGCGTTTAACGCTGCCATCCTTGAAGTCAGTATTAGCGCACTCCGCCAGGATGCACTCACGGGAAGTGGTCAGCAGAGTGTATTCGGTGAATCGGCCTGCGGGTCCCCTATGCTCGCGAGGATCCTGCGGTTTATCCTCCATTCTCTTCTCGCTTGTTCACTGAGGAGGCCCTGTGTCCTGATGTCATAGTGTGTTGGTCGATCCGCGATTCCTTGGGATGCGGGATCTATTGGTCGCTTCCCTCTCCTCGTAGTCCATATAGGCCCTGGCCGTTTCGAGGAGAGCATCGAAAGTCCGGGGTGGTTCGATACCGACGGCCTTCCTGAACTCTGTGCCTTGGAGGAGTCCTCTCTTAAGAAAATATCTCTTCATGTGATCGGTGCACGGGACCTGAATGGCCTTGCGGTTGAACCGATCGATAAATTCCCTGAGGGTTTTGTCGCTTCTTTGGACGATAGCCTCAAGGGGGGCCTCAGTCTTCGGGTGTCGACGAGACGCTGTAAAGGAGCTGATGAACTGACTCTTCAGGTTCCTCCAGGAGGTGATCAACCCTGGGGGCAGATTTTTATATCAGTCCATCGTAGTTTTCCTCAAGGTCATGGGAAACAACTGACACTTGATCGGTCCCACGATGTTGTGTTAGTGGAGCATTGCCTCGAATCTGTCGATGTGGTCGACGGGGTCAACAATGCCGTCATATTCCTTCAGTTGGGGAGACTTCTCCATTCCCCTGGGAATGGGCGCCTCCATGATTTCTTGTGACAAGGGACCGCGGGGGTCTTCTTCGTCACTCCTGTAGGTGGAGTGGGAAGGAGACCGGTTCTAGTGGCAGTCGTTGCGATGTCCTTGGCCTCGGAGAGGATCTCTTGGTCGAGGATGCGCTTCTATGTTGCCCCAATTTCTGTTTTTAGGGGATCGTTGTTCCCTGTGCGCGGGGGTGAGGCTACGTCTCCCGGTAGCCTCGGGTATAGTTCTCTCCAGCACGGGGCGTCGACCATTCTGGCAAGGAGAGATGCTTTGTGACCTGTCCCATCTGTGTCTCTGCAGGGGAGATTGAAGACAGTCTTTGTTCTGATGAGGAGATGAAGTGTTAGGTGTTATGTTTCTTCTGGGGGCTCGACAAGAATTCTTGAGCATCCTTAGCCGATCACCTTGCGAGAAGACTAAATAATCCGTCTGGTTAATATCCGCGAACAGAGCCCTGGTCGTGGCATCAGTGACTGCGGGGACAGGAATCTCCTGGAAAATGTTCGGCTTATAGTTCTGGGGCGGATGGGTTCCCTCGTGTGGTCGAGAGCGTTATAAGGAAGAGGCAGACATACTGTCTCTGTAATTCTGCATGAGACCGGCCATGTCGACGTCGTTCCTGTTGTTGTTGTTATTGTTGCCCATATTGTCGAAGACGTTGTTGTTGGGGTCGGTGATATGGGCGTCTAAGTTGTTGTTGACAGTTGGGTCAACCATGACAATCAAAAGAGTTTGAAGAATTGCTTTAGTCTCGGGTTAATGAAAGACAGGGAAGCTTGTTTTCCATTGACGATGCAACTAATCGTACCCGACCAGAGTGGATCGTCAAGGCCAACAAGCTGTGAGTTGAGCAGCAACTGAAAGTGAGTTAGGGGGTACCTGCAAGACACTCTGATGCCAAAGTAAGGTTCAGAGCAGTGCGAGCAAGTGTGAGAGTGAGTATGAAAGAATGAATATCTGACCCTCTCAAGAGAGAGGGTATTTATAGCCCTCAGTGCTGGGCCAAGATCCCCATCATTGGGCTGAGCAAGCAGGCCCAAAACGGAGATTGCCAAGTTCTACGTTCATAGGGGGGCCAACACATGGTCCCCAACCTGGATGAATTCTCCCGAATAGTCAGGAGGATATGGATGTGGTCTTTTCGGGACCAAGAAGACTCCGTGATATCCAAGGTATGATGAGTCAACCCTACGAGGAGAGTGTTCGTGACGTCTTTGTTTCGTCGTGGGTCCTTTCTGCCAGCTGTGGGGTTGTCCAGGGGGACTTGTCTTGGTCGACAAGAGGAGTGGAGGATGCTCGCGAGGTCCTCCTGGCCAGCGACGAGCCTCCCCGTGATTCATGAACTTATCCCCGTACGACGAAGCCGTGTTTTCCCGACAAGTGAGGTTATTGCCCGACATAGTTGAGGGCAGGCTCGATCAACAGGCCTACTCGAGCAGCATAGTTGGATTGGACCTAGTATGAAGTTGGGGCAAGTGCAGGCTCAGTCCATAACAGAACCAAACCAAATCAAACTAATGCGGTTTAGTATGTTCGGTTGGTTCGATTTTTTTTTATAAAAATTATTAAGCCATACATACAAATATAGAGGAAAATATAATTGTGTTTAATTGTTCATACATTACCATAAAAAAATTTATAATTGTCAAAATAAGTTTATAATTTGATACATAAAATTGTGTATTATAATTTTATCTAAATCTAAAGAATGATATAGACAAAATTGCATTTTTAAATAAATATTATACAAAAATTACGATAAAATATATTTTGTGAAAATAGTATTTATAAATGAATAATATTTTATTTTTTTATGATTTGTAAGTTAAAATAAATATAATACAAAGTATGATAAAATATACACATAACACATGTTAATTTCTCTAAAAAATTAAAAAAAATATATAAATTTTATAACATAATACCATTTTTTTTGTTTGATTCAGTTTGTAAAATATAAATCGCAAACCAAATCAAACCACGCGGTTTTGTTTAAAAATGACTCAAACACATTCAAATTAAATACGATTTTTTACAATTTTAATTTAATTCGATTCGATTTCACAGTTTTCTATTGAACCAATTTAGTTTTGAACATCCCAACCTACAATTGCATTCATCACTTAATTACTGAATTTAAATATTTCCGGCGATCAACATGTACCTGCTCACGATACCTACGTTTGATAGCGATTTGTACATCATTTCTTTAGTTAGATCAACATGACTAAAATATTTATTAAATTAAACAACTAAAGCAGAAAAATAAATGCATGCACGTTGCGTTCACAAGCCATTTCTCTTTATAAATAAATAATGCCATATGTGATAAGCAGAAGCACAAGTTTCAATAGTTGAAAACTAAAGAAACAACAATGAACTTCTCTCTCCATCTAACAGTCACAGCTTTGTGTTGTCTAGTTGTTGTGTTTGGAGGGTTACCTTTCTCTTCAGATGCACAGCTTGATCCATCCTTCTACAAAACCTCTTGTCCAAATGTCCATTCCATTGTACGCGAAGTTCTAAGGAACGTCTCCAAGACGGATCCTCGTATTCTTGCTAGTCTCATCAGGCTTTACTTTCATGATTGCTTTGTTCAAGTATGTATTTTTACATAATTGCGTAATTTTACTGAACTTACTATATTTAGTTCATATATTTTATATATCTGTTTATGAAGGGTTGTGATGCATCGATCTTGTTGAATGATACTTCCACAATTGTGAGTGAACAAGGAGCTTTTCCGAATAACAACTCAATAAGAGGTTTAGATGTTGTGAATCGAATCAAAACTGCGGTGGAAAATGCTTGTCCTAATACAGTTTCTTGTGCTGATATTCTTGCCCTCAGTGCTGAAATTTCATCTGTTCTGGTATGTTCTATGAATAAATTTCTAGAGTTCTAGCTCTTGAGATGCACTCAAGACTTGAGAATAGTTACTGGAAATAAAGTTTGGTTGAAATATATTCTTTTGTTCTATTATTATCATGGTAGTGACATAAAGAGTCTTGTCATTTTAAAAAAGGTACAATTATTTATTTGCTGGAATTTTCTTTTGATGGAAACTTGTTTGTCGGATATATGTGTTACTTTGTTCTTTTCACTGTAAGAGTTACTTGTTTTCTTTTAATGTATCCAAACGAACTCTCTTTTCGCCTCATAACAGTTGTTCTAACATGACTAATTGATTTTCAATTTTCAAAATAACATTATTTTAGATGTATATGCTAATCAATACTACTTACATCTAGGGGTCTAAAATTGGACCCACATATCTATTTTGTTAGTATTTTTTCAAGACAGATCAAGATTTTAGATCTTATATGATAATGATTTATACACTTCTATTATTTTACTTGTGATTCTCATATTTTTCTATGAACTTATAATTCACAGGCTCAAGGTCCTGATTGGAAAGTTCCACTAGGAAGAAGAGATAGTTTAACAGCAAACCAATCACTTGCTAATGCAAATCTTCCAGGCCCCGCTTCCAACATTACTACACTAAAATCCTTCTTTTCCCGTCAAGGCCTCAACACTACTGATCTTGTTGCACTCTCAGGTATAAACTTACACAAAATAGTGTTTTATATATGAACTCCGTCAAACTCTTATCACTGAACTTTTAGGTGCTCATACGATCGGTAGAGGTCAATGCAAATTCTTCGTCAATCGATTATACAATTTCAGTAGTACAGGAAATCCTGATCCAACTCTCAACACAACATACTTGCAAACATTGCAATCATTATGTCCCAATGGTGGACCGGGTACCACCCTCGCCGATTTGGACTTAACCACTCCCGATACATTCGACTCGAAGTACTACTCTAATCTTCAAGTTCAAAAGGGTTTGTTTCAGAGTGACCAAGAGTTGTTTTCGACAACGGGCTCAGACACTATTGCCATTGTCAATAGCTTCAACAACAATCAAACTCTTTTCTTTCAAAACTTTAAGGCCTCAATGATTAAAATGGGTAATATTGGGGTGTTGACTGGATCTCAAGGTGAAATTAGAAAACAATGTAACTTTGTTAATGGGGCTTCTGCTGGACTTGATTCAGTCGTCACTAGACAATCGTCTCAAGATGGTGTTAGCTCGTACTAAGTAAGTTGCATAAACTTAAATTACCTAATAAATTAAAGTGTGTGTTTTAGAGGCACATACATGTTGTGCTTTTGTGATGGATGGTGATAGTTTTGTACTTTCTACAATATGGTCATTGATGCAGTGTTTGTAATATCTATTTTCCTATATTATGATAATAATTATGTGTTATACAAAAACGAGATATGGTTTGGAGACGGAAGTATTGACTACTAGTTTTTAACTATCAATGATGATATCAAATGTGGTTTAATTTAAGCTATTTCAACAATAAAGAATATAATATAATTGAGATTGGATAAATAATGCGCTCCTAATAATAAAAAGAGGTGTGCTATGTTGACACCAAATAACCCATATACCATATATACACCTTAAGTTTTTAAAAACATTTTAACTTTGACACAAGAAACAAGGCAAGAAAAAAACGAAAACAAAAGTGCATTAAACCGTATATACATACGGTGTAGTTGTAAGTTTTTGTGTCATCCTAACATTTCTTTAACAAAAATACCAAGCCAGCAGGCAGTAATTTCAAGAACATCATGGGTAAGAGGGAGAACAATCCCATATGAGGGAGAGATTTATTCATGATTATTTCGAAGATGCGTGTGACATTTGTATTGAAAATGAAGTTTATGAAATAGTTCGGTCGAGTAAACTTATCTAGTTGTCTAACCTTACCACAAAGGTTCAAATGTGGCTGATTTTTCTCTTGCACAATGTCACTCCTAAATTAAACACCTCATTTGCAAGTTGTTAAAATTAATGTGTTGTAACCACCACTATCTTTAGGAAGTATTATGAGAGAATTGTAACCATCACATTATAATGATTGTCTTTATTTAGATTTATGGTAGAGTTGTATCATTAAAATTGAGAGAACCAAAGAGTCCTCATCTTGATTAGCAACTTATTTGTATTCTCTATCAGTTTCATTCAAGCCTATATAAAGGCTTTGTAATGCTAAGATTAAGCGTAAGAAGTGTTTGGTGAATTAAAAAAAAAAAGTTTTTCAATGGTCATACACCAGTAGAAGTATAGTACAAAAAAGTGACGAAAAATAGTTTTCTCTGCAGAATTCTGCAACACTATAATTTTTAACATACCACTTCTAGAATACTGCCAACAGAGTGGTATCAGAGCTGCAGATCCTTGCAGCTGCAGCAAAAATAACAACACTTATGGCTTCCACAAACAACCCTTCTGTAACTTACAGCAATGTCAAAGTTCCTCTATTTGAAGGAGAGAACTATAATTTTTGGACTGTTAAAATGGAGACTCTATTCACATCTTTGGATGTTCTAGAGTATGTCAAAAACGGCTATGAAGAACCGGCGCCAACAGAGACTGAAAAATCAAAAGAAAAGGCTGAAGAATCAAGCCAACGGCTTGAAGAATTGAAGAAGAAGAAGAAGAAGAAGATCACAGATGCTGGAGTTCTCGGGATGATTCAAAGAGGGGTCTCTCTATCCATCTTCCCAAGGATTATGAGAGATAAAACATCGAAAGAAGCCTGGAGTATCCTACAACAAGAGTTCCAAGGAGACTCAAAGGTGCGAATGGTGAAGCTTCAATCTCTTAAGAGAGATTATGAAAATGAAAGGATGAAGGAGAACGAGAGCCTGAACGAATACTTCAACAAACTCTCCGAGTTGGTGAATCAGATGAAGTCACATGGTAATACGATAGAAGATCGCAATATTGTTGACAAAATTCTGATCAGTTTGACATCAAGATTTGACCCAATGGTGGGGGTAATAGTAGAAACCAAGGATCTATCAACCTTGATTGTTCAAGGCTTGATGGGGTCTTTTAGATCCTACGAGCAAAGGATGTTACGACATTCTGAAAAATCAATCGAGAGTGCCTTTCAATCTAAACTCAACATTCAGCCCAACAATGGTGAAAATAAGCCTCAAATACAAACTAGAGGTGAGTCTTCTAGAGGTGGCAGATTTGGAAGAGGCAGAGGCAGAGGTCGAAACTCACGTTGAAGATCTGGAATAAGCACAAATGGCGGAAGATTGAATGGAGCATCAAACAAATGGTGCAAAATTTGTAACAGCGGTACTCATGACGAGAAGGATTGTTGGAACAAAGGTAAACCGCAATGCCACAATTGCAAGAGATTCGGGCACCTTCAAAAGGATTGTCGTCTTGAAAATCAATAACATGCTTCGTACGCAGAAGGAGAATCTGATGAAGGAAATTTATTTTTTGCTTGTCAAAAAGAATTGCATGAAGAAGGTAAAAATGTATGGTATTTGGACAGCGGCTGTAGCAACCATATGACCGGACAGAAGGAAGCATTTATAAACATTGATTCTTCATTTGGCTCAAAAGTTAAATTGGGCAGTGGAGAACATGTCGTAGTGAAAGGGAAAGGAAGCATTGGAGTCACCACAAATCAAGGAAGCAAAGCCATAAATGACACACTCTATGTACCGAAATTAGACGAAAATTTGCTTAGCATTGGACAACTTCTGGAGCACGGTTATTCTCTAAAATTTGAGAATAACAAGTGCAGAATTTTTTACTCAGAAAGAAGAAGTGTTGTCGTTGTGAAGATGACTAGCAACAGGAGCTTTCCACTATCTTTTAACTATGAGAAAAATGTAAGCATGATGGCCAGAGTAGAGAATGACTAGTGTTTATGGAACAGGAGACTTGGGCATTTAAATTACGAAAGCCTCAAGTTACTCTATCAAAAGAAGATGGTGTATGGGTTGCCAAGAATCGAAGAAAAATCTGGTGTGTGTGAAGGTTGTGTGCTTGGCAAACACCACCGGCAACCATTTCCAAAGGAAGGTGCATGGAGAGCTAAACAAGTGTTGGAACTTGTACACACAGATGTGTGTGGCCCTATGAATACTTTGTCTCATGGCAAAAATAGGTACTTTATCTTGTTTATTGACGACTTTACCCGCATGACTTGGGTATATTTCATGAGACAAAAATCTGAAGCGTTTGTAATCTTTAAGAAATTTAAAGCATTAATCGAAAAACAAAGTGGCAGATATATAAAGATGCTGAGAAATGATCGAGGGAAGGAGTACACCTCAAATGAATTTCATAAATTTTGTGAAGATGAAGGTGTTGAAAGACAGCTCACTGTTGGATATACACCTCAGCAAAATGGTGTATCTGAAAGAAAGAACCAAACCGTGATGGAGATGGCGAAGTCTATGCTACTTGAGAAAGGTTTGCCTAAAACCTTTTGGCCCGAGGCCGTTAACACTGCTGTGTATTTGATGAACAGGTGTCCAACAAAGGCTGTATGGAAAAAGACTCCATTCGAAGCCTGGAGTGGAAGAACACCGTCGGTGAACCATCTTAAAATCTTTGGGTGTGTTTGCTATGCTCAAATTCCTAAACAAAAGAGGACAAAGCTAGAAGAAACAAGTGAAAGATGTGTCTTTATTGGCTATAGTTCCATGTCAAAGGGCTATAGACTTTACAACTTGAATACAAACAAGGTGATCATTAGCCGGGATGTTGTATTTGATGAGAACGCTTATTGGAATTGGGAAGAAGACAAAATAAAGGAGAAAACAGTCCCTGCAATCATATTACAACAACAAAACCCAACAGTTGATAATGAGCAACCAGCTCCATGTACACCAAGTTCCTCATCCTCTCTAAGTTTACAAATTTCAAGTTCATCATCTCCCAGCTCAACTCCAACAAAATTGAAGGACTTGAGTGATATTTATGCAAGATGCAACTATTGTGTTGTGGAACCAGAAAATTTTGATGAAGCAATCAAAGAAGATGCTTGGAGGAATGCGATGCAAGAAGAAATAAATTCCATTGAGAAAAACAAAACATGGCAGTTAGTTGAAAAGCCAAATGACAAAGAAGCTATTGGAGTAAAGTGGGTGTACAAATTGAAGCATAATCCAGATGGGTAAATTCAAAGAGCCAAGGCTAGATTGGTAGTAAAAGGCTATGCACAACAGCCTGGAATTGACTATAGTGAAACTTTTGCCCCAGTTGCAAGATTGGATATTATACTAACAGTTATTGCATTAGCAGCTCAGAAAGGGTGGAACCTGTACCAACTTGATGTGAAGTCAGCTTTCTTGAATAGAGAATTAAAAGAAGAGGTATATGTGCAGCAACCTCAAGGCTTTGTGACTAAAGGCCAAGAGGAAAAAGTTTACAAGTTGAAGAAAGCTCTCTATGGGTTGAAACAAGCCCCGAGGGCATGGTATAGTGAAATTGACAGCTACTTCATTCAACAAGGATTTGAAAGAAGTCAAAGTGAGCATACCTTGTATGTGAAGCATCAAGGTAAAGATGATATCCTTCTTGTTGCCATTTATGTTGACGATTTGGTGTATACGGGTAACAACAAGAAAATGGTTGAAAATTTTAAAATAGAAATGATGAAAAAATATGAGATGAGTGATCTTGGCTTGCTGCATCATTTTCTTGGTATTGAGGTTTACCAAGATGAATATGGAGTTTTTATTTGTCAAAAGAGATATGCTGAAAATATTTTGAAAAAGTTTGGCATGAATGGCTACAAACGTGTTGATATTCCTTTATTGGTGAATGAAAAATTAAAGAAGGAAGATGGTGGAAGATTAGTAGATGCAAGTATGTATAGAAGTTTGGTTGGAAGCTTGTTTTATCTTACAGCTTCAAGGCCCAGTTTAATGTTTGCTTCTAGTTTACTCTCAAGGTTTATGAGTAAACCGAGTCACTTACACCTTGGAGCAGCAAAACGAGTTCTAAGGTATGTCATGGGAACCATGGAACATGGAATCAGGTTTGAAAAGAATTTTAAACTCGAAGTTAAAGGATACTATGACAGTGATTGGGCTGGAAGTGTTGATGACATGAAAAGCACTTCCAGTTATGTGTTTATCCTGGGTTCAGGAGTAATTTCTTGGTGTTCGAAGAAACAAGATACTGTAGCGTAATCTTCAGCTGAAGTAGAATATTTGGCAGCTGGTTTGGCTACACAACAATCATTGTGGTTGAGAAGAATA